CCAGTTGGGACAACAATTTAAAAGCTGCCTTCAGTGCAGATTCCTAGCCCCACCAACTTCCCCTTGCCACCCATCTGACACAGAATAACATGAAGTAAAACAAGGCAGGCTGCTGTGCTTCTGCAGAAGTCTCCCAGAGCCCTGCCATAGCAACTGAGTGCTCCTGCCCCACTCCCTGAGGGCAGGCTGTCAATTAATGGACTCCCCTAAGAGCAGGAGTAGCCCACGGAGCAGCCTTCTTGTGCCTCATGGCTAGAGCACATAAGAACTGCATTTGCTGGGTCAGACCATAGGTCCATCTTGTCCAGTGTCCTGCATCACAATGGCACAGAGCGAATGCTGAAAAGGAGAGCAAACTGGGTATGACCAGAGTTTTTTTCACTTCCAGCATGCATGGACTAGGAAAGCTCTCCAGCCACAGGGCTGAGGGAACATCTGTACAGTCCAGCTCCTGAGCTATCTTTCTACAAAAAGAAATTTCCAGTTTGTTCATTCCCACCACTACAGACAATGATTCAATTGGTTCAAGGGAGCAATGTCCTGCCTTGCTATTGATTGTGAATGGCCGTTTCATTCATATTTGTGTTGACAACTGGATGAGTGATGTTTTACAGTTGAAACCTCCTCAATTAGGTCCCTGGTCACAGTAAACCATGAATTAAACGGACCAGGTAAGAGTTGCCAAAACGTGACTTTTAGTCGCCTAACTTCAGACAAAACAGAACATGGATCAGTTGTTCTGGTAATGACAACAGGAAAGTGTGCCTTAATCCCCGAATCAACTCCAATTCATTTAACAGCTGCAGCTTTCCAAATGACAAGGTCTTTGTCAGAGACAAAATTTTGCCAACAGCAGTAATAATGGACTAAATTCATTACAACTGTAGCGTATGCAAGGTCATCTTTCCAGAGTCTGTATTGTAGAGCTAGCAGTATATTTGTATCTTTTCCCATTTGTTTTTCCAGACTAAGTACTTTAACAAATTACAGCTTTATACCTGTAGTCATAATTTGGCCCAGCTTTTCTTATCTGGTTATCAACAGTATAAAATGAGGTAGTGGCACTTCCCAAACCAAGGTCTTCTATATTTATCTTTCACATTAGAACTTGCTACTCACTTCTGCACACTACAGATTGTTTGTGCCTGCTAAGACCCAGCTATCTAAGTGGGAGAGCAGTTTTGCTCATGTCTGTAAAGTCAGAGGCATTCAGGCAACACCCTCACTCTGGCCCGAATGTTGTTGCTTATTTTGCTAGCGTATCATTTTTGGAGTTACAAGCTTCCTCTCAAAAGTCATGTGAAGTTTTGTTTGTTAGTTGGGAACTTCTACTACTGCCTATGTAGGAATAAATGCCTGCTGACAAAGACGAAACTACATCCGCATAATAAAATGCAAGCACAAAACAGCTGTCTGTAAGTCTAGAGAGATGTCTCTAGTATCATCATCAGAACTTAGAGGATGTCTTCACTGTTGCTGAATGAACATTGCTTGGTATGTACTTTTGATTTCCAAGAAAAATAAATTCAGTCTGAACTGGAGTTCAGGCAACAGTAAAACACCATAGAAAGCAACAAAAAACTAACTTCCTTAGCCTTACAAAGGGTTTTTGAACACGAAAGCTTGCTTAAAAATTGTTCTCCAATTATTTAAGTTGGTCTAATAAAAGATAACAGATTCACCCAAAGAACCTTGCCTGCAAATGTATCAGCTACTTACAAGCCTAACAGTTTGCACTGAGAATCCAGTCCCTCGGCAATTTTCAAAACAGGCTCTCTCATTGCTTGGAAAGGATGTACCACACATTTGAAATTCCTACTGTCCTGTCACCTAGAAAATTACTCACCAAAACAGAGCCCTGGCTTGTTGAGGCCTTAAAAAAAAAAAAAAAAGGAGGCTCAACTGCTCTATATCCACAGCTAGTCTTTGTACAAATGACTGTGGTAGAGTTGGCAAGACAAGATCCTTGCAGATCACCTGCCAGTATGATTGTGTCTTTAACAGGATTTGCAGTGTTCAGATTTCACAGACGGGCACTCCCACTCAGGTCACCCAAGTAACTGGCCAGAGGGACATTTGAGACAGAAATCTTGAACACAGGGGGATCCAATGTGGATCATTACTGGAATCTTATATTCCCAGATGGCATCTTCAGAGTCTTTCCTTAGTGTTACATTCCACAGAGGGCAGGAAAAAAATCTAGAACTAAGTCGAGGAAACTATTCCTTTTACCTTGCAAATTCCAGACTGGAATTGGAAACTACTGTGCTGCTTGAATTTAAAGGAAAGTTTCCCATGAGAAAAAAGCCCAACAGAATCTCTTTAATCATTTGGCTCTAATTCAGTTTTTCATTTTTAACTTTAATTAGCTTTGTCTATATAACCATTTGGAGAAGTTAGATTGCCAAGCCAAGCAAAAAATGAAAGAACCAGGAAATGGAGAATGCACATGCACCAGCTTTTTTTTTTTTTTTTTTCAATCC